CAACAGCATGGCTCACTACCTCTCCGTGTAGCTTCCTGCTCAGCTCCCACAAGTCTGCCCCAGATGTGTAAATCTTTGATGTCCAACAGCGGTTGTGGAAAGTCTCTCAGCTGAAACTTCCATTCCTTGCAACTTGCACACACTGAACGACACCACAGGGTTGTAAACTCCAGACCCTCTTCTGGCCATGGGCTGCAACAGACATGTAGTGTGCTGTAACTGTGAGTCAAGAGCACCATTGGATTACACACATTTGTGCCATTTATAGTATAACATGGCTGTACTATCAGCAGCAACATCTATGAATACAGGACTGGTGCATTATACCACTAGTGTTTCTACAATCCACTATGACAAACTTGCTGACATTTCAGGAACCATCTCTGTCCTCATCTTCAGGGTGCGAGATGCCCTGATCCACCATTTTACATGGCTGACAGTACGAGAGGATTTTATTAAAACATAATGGAACATACAGATGACCCATGCATGTATTATATCAATGCTCAGACTCTACATGGCAATAACAACAGGTCATGTGAAAGAGGGATAATCTGTCATAACCCAAAAGGGTATAGAGGATGACAACTGTCACTACTGTAAATGACCAACTATTTCCTCAATTAGTTCAATTTTAATTAATATGGTCAGTCCTAACCTGTCAGGATCTATTTCTGTCATAGTATTCATAACATTCTCTGCACCATGCACAGACAGATCAGCCAGTGTGAGAATCTCAACATCATTCATAAGCCATGCAAAGAGTCTGGTTCTGGCAGGTGCAGCACGACACATCTGCCTAGATCGCTGAACATAGATCTCTGTGTTCCGCTTGCTAAGACTTGCATACAACTCTTCCACTTTGCCTGCTGGTAGCAGCAGATGAGCCTTGCAAAGTTCAGCAACCTTCACATCCAGCATTTTCTGCCTTTTCAGACTCTCCTTATATTCATCTTCCAGCAACTCGTAATTGTCTCGAAGGCGCACCTCAAATGGGTCATCACTCATCTCAAACAGGAACTCCTTAACCTGGTAAGAAGAAGTGCACATTAGCCCTACATTTTTCTCTATACAGATATATAAATAATACAGTACTTTAACATAAATCCCTTTCCTGAGAAGTTAGAAGTTCCTCAACTGGTCAAGGAATTCACCACTTTTATTAAGCTCAAAGGTTAATTATCATGCCCACAAAAATCCACCACTGGACACCGGTTGAACACTCTCTGCCCTTTCATGTCCTACATCTCTAAAGCCCAGTTTAGTATTACTGCCACCTATACATAGGTTGCACAAGCAGTCTTGCAGTTACCTGACCAAAATGCTGAACAACTTCCGCATCTTCTTATATGTGCTGTATGCCCCAGCCACCAAACACTCCCTGACTTAATACCATTAACATAAAAGCAAAAACCGAAGCCCCACCCTATGCCAAATCAATCCACTTCAAATTCTTACAAATTCTTTCTCACAGATCCAGTTTAACAGCAACTTCCAACACCCTTCTCAGGCTGAACAGTGGCCTAGAGACCAGACTACTTCACAATTAGTTCTTCAGTCACTAAATGACAGTGGTATAGTCACCGCTTCCTAGACTAAGCACGAAGCCATACACATTTTTTTCTTTTACAAATCAAAACTAAAAGTGAATTACTTAATGCTGAAGATTGTCTACCTTAATGAGTAGATCCGGTGGTAGAGGACTATCTGACGTAAAAGGCTGCCTTTGTTTCTTATGCACCAACTTCAGCCACTTCACAACACTCACAAGCTCATTCTGAATAGCCTCAGAAAAATTGTGTTCATACGGAAAGCAGGCTTTTAGCGAGCTGATGGTTAAGTTCCTGTAAGAACAACTGTATTGAATAGTGTTGTAAAGAGGCAAGAACTTAGTTACAACATGAATCAGTCTATAAGTCATGAGTGCAACTCAGCCATTAACAAATTTAATCAAAGTGCTGTTTGTCTGCCAACCGATCCGGAGCCCACGACGTGCAGTGCTCATCTTGCAATGAGAGAATTCCTTTTGTGTACACAAATTAAAAAGAACTCTTCTCTCTACCAAATTTATTTCACTTCTGCTCTTGTTCAGTTTACAGCAATCACATTTGTTTTCTGTTATATCCAACATGTCAGTTATCTGCAGACCCATCTGTAAAAACTTCTATTAAAACATAAATGAACTGAAAACTTTGAAATGTGGTGAAGCACAAAAACTGGTGCTACTGCCAGAGCTATGAATATATTACCTACAAAGACACATAATATTTCTCTTCAAGATCCTCAAATCTGAAAATATTATTTTGACACAAAGGAAGCATTTCTACACAATTACAGCTTTCCTTATTCGACAGACTCGCACATTTAGCTTATAAATGGTTTCAAAACCAATTAACTTAGTAACTGCATTCATGACTTGTAATAGTGCAACTGCAACTGCACATTTTCTGTCTATATATTTATTCCATAATGAACTCTCAGCTAAATTATACAATTTTTATATTTCCCAACAAACAAATTTATCTACTTCTTTTAACTCTTTTCCATTTACTTTCACTGTTGTGTTTTTCCCCTCCATTTCTCAAGTTTTAACAATACTGATTCCTCTTGGTCTATTTCCAATCCACATTCTTGCTTATTCTATTCCACTGGGTCAGTCTTGTCTCTAGTTCCTTCACATCTTCCTTTCTCTCTCTCTCTCTCTCTCTCTCTCTCTCTCTATGTCATCTGTATGTATAGTATCTTTTAAATCTGACTCTTTCATAGTTTCTATGTTTTTCTTACAGACTTTGTTCACTGCAACATTAAGTAACGCTGGTGGTAATAAACTTACTTGTCTGACTCCTGATCAGGTCTCAAACCATTCCTTATTCGTCTTAACATGATCTGTAGTCTCTCCATACGTATTTTTCACTTTTCTCAGATCTTGTGTCGAGTTTAAGAATGAGTAGGAACTATACCACATCTCTTTTCCCACCCCCCAAGCGCCTACATGGCACACAGTGGGACAGCTTTACTTTTTACTTATTTTACACAAATATAAATTACATATACATAAAACCACATGATGCAGCTGACAAAACTGGCTACAAACAGAGAACTGCAGATATACTAGAAATTAATGACTGACAGAATAACTTTCGTAGGGAATTTCCACATACCAAATTTTTTACATATCCGTATAAAACACAAGGGATATAATATGATTTGTATGCTCCTGCATGAACTTACCAAGTTATATTCCAAGGTAAAATAAAACCTTCGGTATTCTTCCTTTCAAGTCTAACTTCTTCACTGTCCAAAATCTTTGCTACTTGGAAGTCATCTATAGAGAAAATTTCTTTATTGTCTATGGCTATTCTCACTGACATTGCCTGTATTGCAAGATTTTCTCTGTTCATTGTACCTATTATGTAATCTGTAAAAAAAAAAAACCACACTCAATCACCACTTAAAAATTGCAGGAGTTAACCACTTCAACTAGCCACACGTTAATTTAATTCTTGTATACGTACTGACACACCTGCTTTCATCTTTATCACTCATAGAAAAATCAAGCATAAAACTGAATAATCCACCATAATTAAACATTTATAATTTGACTTCTGTGTTCTCTGCGACAAAGTAAAAAACATATAAACGTCATGTCTGCTCATGTCACTCCATCCTCTCTGTATTGACCAAAGCTGCCTCTACTATCAGTTTCACTAACATACGATTCCAAAATAACAGCACATATCAAAAAATATATCTTGAGGGAATAGTGAGTTGCTGTGCTTTTATCTGTTTCTATTTTTTTTTAAACTGGTGAATTTCATAAAAAAGTTAAATGGCACTTCACAAGGAGATTGAAGTTTTCACAGTTAGTAGTAACACTGTCACCATGTGTTTGTTGGCATGCCTCTCAATGGATGGGGCACAGACAACTGTTTACTCAGACATCCTGACACAAGCTGCAGATTCTGGAATACAGACTTTCTTCTCCTTGATTAGACGGAGGCACAAAGGATGGGTTAACAGCACCCTTACAGACTACCAGCTATAAATATCTCCAGGAACAAAGTACACATACAGCCAGTGTAAAAAATTACACAAAATGATGAAGATAGTTATGAATCACCTATTATGACAAAGGTGTCAGAAAAGTTCTCTCAATTTATGGAACGTTTCTCATGACCACTTGACGGTGCCAATGAACTTGTTTACTATAATGAAAACCACTAAGCCATACCCATTCTATTGCAGCACAACTGTTACCAGCCCATTTAATAAGCTTTAAAACAGAAAACACAAGACAGAAACCATTACAAATAAAATACACTATATGAGAGTGCAGGCACTGCATTCACTAGTTGCAGAATTATTTTGCACGTTTGTCATTTGACACACACATCCAGGTAGCTCGGCCAGTACTGTGACTGACGACTGGACGACCAGGTTCAATGCCCGACAAAGGCTGAGGATTTTCCCCCTCTACCCTGTGCGTCCAGACTGGCTCTGGGGCCCACCCAGCCGAATGTCCAATGGGTACCGGGATCCTTTCCTAGGGGTAAAGCATGGCTGGGATGTTCTGCTGACCACTCACCCGTATCTAGTGCCGAGGTTAAGAATGAGCAAGAGCTATACCTTCTCCCCCCCCCCCCCTCCCCACCCAAAAGCAATCACTTATTTTTTTACCACTGACTTTTCTTACATACAATCCATGTAGTCATTTACCATTCTCACACAACATGTGCTTAACTTACTCCTTCATGTAAATAAACAATTAATGCAAACATACAGACCTGAAGTAAAATCCATACAGTGTCTAGATGAAATTGTGATTCCAAATCTCACTTGACCCTTCACCTGTAAATTCAAGCTCTTGTGCATAGGATTATGGATCCTGGACTTGTGTACATTGAACTCACCAGATAAAGCTGAAAGGGCTGCAAAGTAAACACAGTTAACAGAATAATTCAAATCATCGTACTGAAAACACAACATGGATTGAAAACTAGCTGAAATTTAACATGTTGCGTATCATAGACACTTGAAGAACCATTGTTTTCCCACCTAGAATAAGGCGCAAAACTCAAACATTTATTTGTAAGAACACACATAAAAGAAGTTCTTGCTTTCTGTTTGCATAATCGTTGAGTGTGAAACACAAAGTTTCCATTTCCGTCCATCCTCCCACAATTTCAAACCAAAAAACATTCCATACATATTTCTATATATATATATATACCTTTGATGCCAGATATAAATTCACCAACTTCTTGAATGAGTGTTAGTAGTTTGAGGTGCAAATTGGTACTCCACTGAGCCTGCACTTCATCCAGCAGCTGCACTCTGAGATCAGACTTCTTATGCACATAAGTGACCCTTGCCAGCTTTGTGTGTCCCACAAATGGCTGCAACAGCACAGCACATAATGTTCCTGAGAGAACAATTTCAAAGATAAACTGAACAACTGCGATCCTTTGTAAGCACTTAAAGGCAAATCACAACAGGAAATACATTCAGACAGATAAATATGACACTCAACAGAAATGTTCTTTTTGTAGGGCGCAAGAAGACAAAAGGATTCTGACCTAAATGATCACATTTTCCAAAGGTAATTGGCTCTTAATTTTCTCATAAATGCAATTTTGCCACATTTTCAGAGGACTTATTAGTTATAATGACAAGATATGAACATGTACTCAGTTTTCAGTATGATTACTTGTAGATCATCTTCCTTACTAGCATCTAATAGAGCATGAAATAGAAGCTAATGTGTCACATTCAATTCCAATCCTTTCCAGTTTTCTAGGACATTCCTCATGGTATGTTCTAAATAAAACTTGTAAAGCACTGGCAGTAAAGTATGAAATGATGCAACAAACAAATGGTCAACCCACATGGACTTCACTACATGTTTCTCTTAAACACATTTTAATTAACCCAACCAGTCTCACAGGTTTAATGATTCCATGACACTGACGACTTACCTTCACTTCTTCAGACCTCAGACATGTGTATTGGGTTTTAGTTGGACATATGGAAGAAAGTTTCGCTCCTTCAAGAGCCATCACTGTGTTTGATGTCATATTCTCAATGGATGCAGAGTCAACTCTTACCATAACACAAACTGAAAAATGAAAAAAAAAATATACATTTAAAAACATACTAACCTAACAGCACAGCAAATTGGACAAATGTAAATTTAACTTTCACTTCCTCTGTGTCATTAATTAAAATTGTAACACCTTATAATTAAACTAATATGTGTTCTTTTTGTTGGATTTATTAATGACACACCATTATGATTAATCATTTTTCTTGACTCTCAGTTTTGTTGCTCTTTAAATGACACTTGTAATAATGGTTCTCATCTTTGCATGCAAAGGGACCACATGGCTTCATCAGTACTCTGTGTTCTACTACGCAAAGGAAAAGGAGATACGATAGACTCCGATTATCCAGGGCAAATAAACAAGGCTCTATGTGTTTTAAACAAAAATTAATTTAGTAAACCATTTGTAAAAGTTAGAACATTTAAAAAGAAAGGAATTAACACAACAATGATACATTATTTAATGTATTAACATAAATAAATTTTTGTTAAAACCTGAAGATTATGACAACAGAAATTTATTACTATCCATTAGGATCTTTTTTAAAAAATAATTGGTGTGTGCTGTATTAAATGTTATATAAAAGCCTTTCTGTTACTAGTAAATCTTCAAAATTTTAAGTAGTGTATGTCTTACGTATTTGTTACATTTGCACATTTTTCTTTCATTTTTGCGTATTAGCCAGGAAAATATATTTCCCAATCAGTTCAGATAGGAGTCTACTTATCTGAAAATTCTTGAAGTTCAAAACTAAACAACTGAATAAAGATCATGATTTGTTTTCAATCTCATCTAATAATTTGAGTCTTACACATGCTTAATAATACACACACATGTACACTAACCTCTTTTATCAGCAATAAAGAAAACATTAACATTTCTTGAAGTGACATTTATGATGCAGGATTCAAAACACTTCACAACATCCATTTTACTGCTAGTGGCTGCCTCTATGGTTGCTGAAACACCCTTCTGATAAGACCGACTTCTCCTTATTGCATCTTTGTACTCATGGATGCACCTGCACATAGCAAAATACATATGCAGGGCATTATCCAGCAGCCCATGAAAGTGTGACAAGGTTGAGAAGAAGAACAAAAGTTTGGGTGCACAAACTGATATTCATAGATATGTTCAGTGTTTTCATCATTGTACGTGCGTGCATATGCAGAACGCATGCACATGTTCACATCTACTAGACATGTCAAAGAGGAGATATATGGCGATGAGGAAATATTGTCCACTTTAGACACTAGTAATGAAATATATGAGACTTTAGATCTAGTGGCAGTAATTATGAAGTAAGCAATGCTTCATGCTGGTAAAAGAAGCATTCACAAGGTACAAATTCAGTTTCATAAATCATCTTCTTTCAATTAGTTCCTGTAACTCCTAAGTGGAGCATAGGGCATCATAAATTATCTTCTACTTTTATTATTCTGAATAGTTCATGCACATTTCATAAGAATACACACTTTTACAAAAATATTCCACTTACAAACACAGAAAAATCACCTTGGGAGGGTCAATGACTTTCCACAATTCAGTATCAATTTCAATTTAATTAACACCTTATATATATATATATATAT